AGGCTCCGAGCTGTCAGTATAGAGCCCGACACGGGGCTCGAACCCACGAACCACGAGATCGTGACCTGAGCCGAAATCAGACGCTCAACCGACCGAGCCACCCAGGCACCCCAATAAATATTTTTTTAAAAAGAAGAGTTTAATATGGATCAATTCCTAAACATCAACTTCTGCATTGCTCAAAAGAACAAGAGCTAAAAGGAGGCTATTGAGCTTAATGAGAGCACCTTTGGCTATAGACCAGTAGCCAAGCTATATGGAGAAAGAAGAATGTAGTGCAGTGATTTTGTTAAATGAATTCATGATTATGTTTTAACTTAGGTTCTACTACTAAAAACGGCAGGGGGAACTACGGAGATCCCACTCTATATGATATATTTTTTTTTTTAAATCAAAGCCACCATATTATAAAGTAATTTTACTGAAGGTGTAGGTGTCATGGGGGGTGTCCTCTTCCAGAAGAGGAAGGCATGGTCTTAACTTTCATTGGATTTGCTCATAATCTAGCAGGAAATAATGGCACTAAGAATGATAATGACCAAGTGAATATTTGTACAGTGATTACTCAGTGTTGGGCAGTGTTCTACGTATTTTAAAGCAAGGAATACTTTATAGCAAACCTGTGAGGTCGGCGACGTAGGCAGGTGCCTAAATTTGATAATGCCATACAATACGAACCCTAATTGCTCTTCAAGCCTGCTTTTTGTAGCAGGAAGGGAATAGGTGGTGGGTGGACATGGACTTGAGTTCACGTAATGTGCCTGCCCTTCTACACATGTAACTTTACACTTCCTTTGTAACTCTCTGCTGTTTGGTTTTCACATCAATTAATAATACTAGCCTTGCATCGTTTCAATGTACGTTAAAAATGTGTATAAAACTTCTTGTTCACGGTTAGCCTTCAACATAAGGTTTATTATGTGTTAGGTACGGGGATTCTGGGAACACTCATAAAAGAAAAGGTGATCACGAGTATCCTTGAGATTTCAATAAGAGAAACGGAAGACAAAATTATGTGGGAAAGAAGGGCCAGCAGGCGATACGAACTGGAAGACAAAGTGTGATGCTCGTAGTGAATAGTTCGTTTTAATTGTAGTAAAAAGGATGGGAGAAAGAAGGGTGAACATCTAGTCTGGAAAAATAAGCTTATTCTCTTGGGCTCCCTAGATCAGGGGTTGACAAACAACTGCCTGTCTGCTATTGTACAGCTTCAGAGCCTAGGGTGGTTTTGTGTTTTTAAAATGATGGAGAAATCGGGAAAGACGGATGTTGTGTGATACGTGAAGGTTATATAAAATGTAAATTTCATTGCCTGCAAATGAAGTGTTATTGGCTCACAGCCACACTAATTCATTTGCAGGGGGCAGAGAATGCATACCCTGCAAAGCCTAATTATTTAGTATTATTTCCTTACAGGAAAAAGGTTCACCTCTGCCACAGTTATACTGCTTAGTTTTTAATTACGCTTTTTATTTTCATTCCGGTATAGTTAACACGTAATATAGTGTCATATTAGTTTCAGGTGTACAGCCGGCTGATGGGACAGTTCCACACATTCGTCCGTGCTTGTCAAGATGAGTGCACTTTTCAAGCCTTCATCCCCTTTGTCAGTGTCACCACCCCCACCCCACCTCCGCTCTGCTAACCATCAGTTTGTTCTCTGCAGTTTTTTTCTTTTTATTCGTGAAGTTTCTCATCTCTGATGGCAAAAACAAACAAACAAAAAACAGCCCTATTTTATAGTCTAGGAAATAAGATACCCAATAAGCTGCTTCTTTCTTTTGGTGTCTCTGACATACGGGTCACTTGACAGATGAAAGAACAGCTTCTACAGGTCCCAGATATGTCTCTATGACATCACTGGTCTGGGTCTACGTGATTTCCATTTGAACTCAGGTTCTCATTAATCCTACATCTTGCTTGCTATTGTGGGTGACAGCATGAACAGTGTTTTGGTCTGATTTCCAGTGACGTATGGTCTCCAGTGATATGTAGCTTCTAATATCGAACATGATCTCTTCAGACATTACCTTCATCTCCTTCCTTTTACTTTGCCTTTCCTCACCTGTTGCTTTAACATTTCTTTCCCCAAGTAAAACCCTGTTTGTTAAATCTAATAGTTACGGAATATGTTGCTTATATAGAAATCAATAAGAAAAAGAAATAGGAATCAAAATTCTGTTGCAAAAGCTTTTTCTTCTATGTGTTTAACAACTCTGTTACCCCACACCTCTCTTTGAAAAGTATTGTCTGGCTTATTCTGATTTGCTCTGAAAATCATTTTGTGTAGCAATTCTTTTGACTGTAATCTTGATTCATAGCGTTTCATATGAATTCTTTTATTGCTCTATTTTCATAATAGCTCTCAGGCAACCAATCATCATGTGTGATACTGTGTTTCATTATGATTCAGTGGCATCCAGATGTCTGTATCTCATGTTGTTGCCTTTTAGACAGATTAAAAAAAAAGTTGCTATAAAATAATTGCATTCATTTGTGTGGTAGATTTTAAATTATTGTTTCATGTATCAGTCACACTTTTACTTGAATACAGAAATACTTGTTACCCCTTTTGATAAACCTGAATGAATATCTTAAAAGTTGTGGTTTTGAATTGATTTAAAAGGAGATGATAAACAGGATTTTTAAAACACATTCTATATACACAGATACAAATTATATAAAAATAAGATCCCTCTCATCATTTGTCAGTTTTATAAGTAATAGAAGGACAAAGTAAAAAGGTTAATATCTGAGCTGTTTGTGCGTATGTTTACAGTCTCTAAGTAAATCCATTTAGGTACATATTTTTTTTATTCTCAGCAATACCCAAATTAAACAGTGGTTATATGTATGGTGACAAGACTGTGTTAATGCAAAGATCAGGCTTCTTACAAGAGGGTTTGCATCACAATTACCCAGTGAGCCTTTTGAAAATGCGTATGGTTGGGCTTCATCCTGGATCTGCTGAATCAAAATTTTCATTGAAGGAGCCACACATGTGTGGCTACCCAGAAAATTCCTCTGGGTAGTCCTAATTCTCACATTTGATTGAGAACTATCGAGCCAGAAATATTTTTAGGTAATAGACAAAAAAGGTAGCCTCGTAAAAAAATCACTGAATTTGCTCATAAGGACTTGTTTAGAGCACTGTCATGTGCCCCTGAATTTTCATATGGAACTTCAGAGAAAATTAAAACTACATTTTCCTGTAGCAATTCTAAGAAGGTTTTTTTTTTTTTCCTGTGGTAGAATACCAATATACCTAATTGTTCCTTCCCCTCACCCCCTACTTTGGCCATCGGGATTCTCTGTGGCCAAGTGTCCTGGCTATCTGTGGTCTAGTTGTTTTCTAATCCAACAAGAATTTATTGAGCCCCTTCTATGTACTGAATTCATAATAGGCACTGGGAATGCTAGTAATTAACAAAACAGTCTGGAGCTTACAGTCAATTGGATGAGACCAATGTGAGGCCAGTAAATAGTTCAGTAAGTTCTCCTTTATCTAGATATTGTAAACCTATTTTGAGAATTGATCTATATTTTTTTTTTCTCGGTATTAACCAGAGATGAGCCATGGAATCTTTTCATGTAATATATGTCTGCAAATACACATGAATATTTGTATATTTTGTACGTACATGGGTTTATGTGTGTATGTGTATTATGTTTTGTCTAAGCGTGTGTAGATGTATATATATGTATATATATTCTGTACATCATATATACATATATGTGTATATATATACTTTCAGTGTGTGTTTATATGTGCATCTCCTAATTTATATTTATATGACTACATTTTTTTTTTTTTTTTTTTTTTTTTTTTTTTTTTTTTTTTTTTTTTTTTTTTTTTTTTTTTTAGTATCACACCTTTTGGGATGGGTTGGAATGTATGCATACCTTCCTGTATGTAATACTCATGTGCCCACCTACATAATAGATGAAGTTGGATTATAATTCGCAACATTACATTTTTGCCCCTTTTCATAATACTTTTCCTGTGACATAACCATTAAGTAAAAACGAGAGTTATATGTATCATGTGTTATATTTCATACCATGTCTTTACTTTTTTACACCATTATTTTTGTCTTATTGAATGTAAGTGATATTTGGGGACAGCTTTTCAGTGGTGAGATTGAGATCGAAAGTCATTAAACTCTGAGGCTCTGTATCCCTTGAAGAAAGAGCATTTTATTGTCACAAACAACTTCAGCATGTTGTGTGCAGCATTCTTTTTTTTTCCACCCACAGATGGTGCGTTTCTAGGACAGCATTTAATTGCCCTTACAACTTTTTAAAGCTACCAAATGGTTTAACTTGGGTCACTGTTTTTGAGGAACGTGTTAGCGTGTTAATCCTCTAGGAAAGTTACAGAATGGAGATTCTGGAATATAACTCTCCACCATCAAATACAGAGACACAGTGTGCACTGGTAGAGGGATTGTGGAGAAAGAAACAATGCGTGCTTCGTCGAGAACTGGCTGTGTTTTCAGACGGCACAAATTCAACGTACCACCTATCCTGTGTGGCTGGCTCCCTTTGGAGCATCTATAAAAGCTCAGGACTGGAATGGAGTCCCTGAAATCAATAAAGATGACCTTTTAAATCATAAATTCAGTGGAAAGTTGTATTTTTCTTTCTTTTTAGTGTGCACCCCTGGATAGTGCAGCTAAATTACATGGTTGAAGAAAATTATATTGATATCCCTGTTGGAAAGATTTTTCAATCTTATCAGTTGTCTTTCAAATAATATTCAAAAGACTTGCATTTGCCAGCGGAGTGGATTAAGTTAGCTGAAAAGCACTTACCATTGTCTGTGAGCCAGAAAAGCAGCAAGGATTCTGATTGGCATTATTATTTATTATTTGTGAATGCTGATGGTGCATTTTCGTGGCGGAGTCCTTTCTATGCGTACTGACATTCACAAATGAAAAGGCTCTGCTTAGCTGACTATTTAATTGGTAATTTAATTTTCCTAATAACTTTCTTTACAGGACCTGGATTTTGAAGCCAAAACAAGTTACACACTCCGGATAGAAGCTGCAAACAAAGATGCCGACCCTCGCTTTCTGAGCTTGGGTCCATTCAGCGACACGACCACAGTGAAAATAATCGTGGAAGATGTGGATGAGCCCCCTGTGTTTTCCTCACCCTTGTACCCCATGGAGGTATCGGAGGCTACCCAAGTTGGGAATATCATTGGCACCGTCGCGGCTCATGACCCGGATTCTTCCAACAGCCCTGTGAGGTAAAAGCTCATCGCTCTCCTTTTATGCAATTTTACAAGAGTGTGCTTTGCTCACAGTTCATGTCTCTACGTTACGATGCTTTTGGTTCATGGCAAATGAAGACCAGTTTTGTATATATATTGAGCCATAGAGGCAGAAGGAACCAGGATCAGAGCGGTGCAACATTTTACTAATTTAAAAATGTTTCACCTGATTATCCGGGGCCATTGTTATGTAGCAATAATTTTTAGGCATCCATTATCATCCACAAGCCATAGCTGATATTCCTATTCAACAAATTATCCTGAGCTCTTTCAAAGCAAACCGTGTTCAAAGATGAAGTGATGCGTGTCCTAGTTATGGGATATATGCATATATTAGAAAACTAATTTTATAAAAAATTTAAATTAGGGATTGACTTTCATTAGATCATTTTCTCATATTGGCCTGGTTGGTTAGCATGTATTTGTTTATTATTTCCACTTATAAAAAGTATAACTGTATCTGTATCTAAGGACTGTTTTAAAGTGTTTTATCAATAGTCCTGTATCGAGACTAGACACACGGTTCTAAGCAACTGATCTCTTCGCAACTAACAAAATGATGATAGGTAAGCAAGTCAAAATACCATGATATCCAATTTCACACTTTTTACATAAAACTTACAACCTATGATCTACATGTATGGTTTTGTGTATGCATGTGTTAGCATGTGTGTGCATACGATACATTGTCTTTTTAGATAAATGTTATAAAGACAATATATTTGAAATTTCTTTGTATTGCATGTCTTAATTTGGGTTCACTAGTAAAGTTTTTCAATGTGACCTTCTGGATTTTGACTACAAAAACATAAAGGTATAAAGTACAAAAATCACTCAGTATTTTATATATATTCAACTAATAAGCTAACCACATTTAGATTTAACTGCTATCTGGCAATGGTGAGAGCTTTGAGCTAACTTCTGAGCTAAGTCTGGACATTGTAAACTGTCATGAAAAATATCCATAATTTAGACGATTATTGTTAAGAAAAGCTTATAATCTTTTACCTCCCTAAAATAATAAGCTAAAATAATAAGCTTATTTAGGGATATAGATATGGTAACACACACACACACACCCCACTCTCCTTTCTTTCTCTCTTGTCTGACATTAACATCATAGTCTAGTGAAGAATTTATTTAAAATAATTGTTCAAAAATGAAGTCAGACTTGGCATCCCCCTATCTATACAATAAAGTCAGGCTATAGGGACAGCTATATTATTTTGAACACAGCGATCACAAACCATCCCTAGGAATATAATCTTCCATGCAATAGAACATTTGGAAGTCAAAATGTACCAGGTAGAACACGCCTTCCCCTTCTGCCTAAAACAGTCCATCCTTCGTTGTCAGAACAGTTTCCTAACTTAAGCTCAGCTGCATCCACCAAATCCCGTTGACTTGCACACACTTGAACTTGGGTTTGCTATAGCATCACATCTCCTACTGACACATGTAAGTCTCCTTCCCTTAGGAACAGTCAGACACAGTATGATTGTAGGCACAGATCAGCTACTCAGAACAGTCAGACTTATGCTTAAACCATTCAATGGGAAGAAAGAGAATGCTTTCGTGATGTTAGGGGTGTAAAAGAAGAGACGCATATATATCACGATTCGGGACTTGAGTGAGAGGAGTCAAGGCAAATTGATAGATTGCATTGCGTTTTTATCTTGTTTCTTTCTTATTTTTCCTTTACTCGTTTGCTTGTATGTCATCCTGTTAAAGCCTCGCCACATACATATTTTACTTTTTATAGTACTTTATTTGAAAAAAATGCAGTATTATAATTTGGGGAGGAATGAAGAGTAGGACTAGGAGGGTAGTGACCTGAGGTAGAGATGAAGTGACCTCCAGGTCTACTCCCTGAAGCACAGAGAGAGAAAGGGTCAGAAGGTGAACTCTGTTGGTTTTGAAGGTACAGATCTTTGTGGCTTTCGTCAATGAAAGAGGCTGGCCAGGAATTTTTTTTTTTACCTCATTTTCTTTTTCTTTTTT